AAACATTTCATCAGGCAAGCCAAACACACACACACACACACAGAGAGAGAGAGAGGTCCTCCTCTGGCATTTCGCTACATAAAGCACATTTATCGTGGTTACAAAAGCGTAAAAGAAAAGTGTGGCCCAGGGTTTTTCGCCTGAAAAATGTTTCAAAAACTGTTTCAGGCTAAATGAACATAAAGCGAGCCACCGCCTTTCGCCTTCCGCCTTCCGCCTGCAGCTTCTCTGGCTTTTGTTTTTGTTGCTGAGGAGCTTCCGTCCTGTTCTGGAGCCATCTCTCTCTCTCTCTCTCTCTCTTGCTCCCTCGTGGGCGTCATGAAAATAAAGCCAAATTAAAATTATATCCTCTTCTCTCAGTGTGGCTGGAGGAGAGTGTCCTCTGTGTGTGTCCCCTTTTGTATGCACAAAAGTCAACTAAGTCGTGCTCAATTTTTATGATGGCAAAGACGACGTTGCCGTAAGTGAAGAAGAAATGTTAGTTAAGTACCTAAGCATACCCAGTAGGAAATATTTTAAATAAACACATTTAAAATAAATTTATGAGACTTTAAAATGCATTAAATATAGAGGAAATCAAACAAAATACAGGCAGAGTCCTTAGACAAGAATATATTAAAGAAGGAGAATCCTAAGGTGCTTTAACTGGCATCCCTGCTGCCTTGCTGGCACCTAATATACCCTCGAAAAAAAATAAAAAGGAATAAAATTGGCTTGAGCTTGGCCCTGGCGGTGCAAATGAATGGCAGGCAGCCGCTTTATGAATGGCCACAAAAATCCACCCAAAGGACCCAAACTCCATCCAAAACAAACACTCGCTGACGTTGCCGCTGTCTGGCGGGATTCCCCCTAAAATGGCAGTAAACCTAAAGGAGCACAAACAAAAAATTACAAAAAAAGAGACACAAAAATTTACGAAAAGAAAAGAAATTAAATGCACTTCCTTTATGCGCGAGCTTCTCTCTCATATTTTCCAGGCAGCCTTTCCCTCCGGGGCTTTTCCCCCGCTTTTCACTCCCACGCTAATAATGGAAGTGCACTTTTGACACAAAAGGTGCAGTGGCGACAATGCCGGGTTTTCTCCGGGTTTCGGGCTCCTTTTTCTTTGCAGCCTTTGTTGCCTTTATTGCTCATTCGCTGCAAGGGCGATTAGTTGGGCGCAAAAGGGGGGAGGAAAATCTGGTGGGGGGTGGGGGAGGGAGTGACTTGGGAAAACCCCAAGAGTGGGCCACGAATGAGATTAGAACATTTTTGCGGCATTGCTTTCACTCTACTTCCCAACGGGATAAATGCCTTTATTGCCACATAATTTTCGAGAGTGGTCTTTGCCGATAATGCTTATTACGTTCGGTTGATTGAAAAGATTGAAAAGCGGCGGAAAAATATATGTTACTGATAGAGCTAGGAAAATAGAAACTCTGTGAATTTTATTACTTAAGTTTTCTATAGATAAAAATGCATAAATTAACACTTTCTTGCTTGATAAATATTACTCATACGTAGATGTACATATTGTAACATTTACATTTTGTGGCTCTGCTTGGCAACAAAATCAAAGTGAAAAGCGTTCTCATAACCAAATCAAAAACGTAACGAATCGAATCGAATCGAAGCGAAGCAAACAAAACGGAAATGTGCTGAAGACATTCAAGTGTCGGTGGCGTATGAGTGATTTACCTGGAGAGAGAGAGAGTAGAAAGTCAGAAAGTCTTAAAAACCGAGGAAAAGGCAGACGACTGACTGGCTTCTTGGCCTCTGCCAGTGCAGTGCAAATATATCAAATAAATAATAAATGAAACGAAACGAATCAAATGCGAAATAAAAATCAATGGCACTCACCACTTGAATGAATTGGAATGCATACACACAGCAAGGGAATACAGTAAGGCCTCCTAGTAGCGAATATATATATCAAATGGGAATAGAGATTTTCTACTTTACAATTCCTACTAACATCAATAATATATATAATAAATTTCTATACTCGAAACTCTAAATAATAAGCTTCCGCACAACCCTCTCTGTACTTGTATATCCTGGCAATTTGCTTTTCGGTTGGATTTCAAATAAAATGCTGCTTCATTGCATCGCAAACCAAGACCATGTGCGGAAAATAAGGAAAAGGAGTGCCTGCACTCCAAAAAAAAATAATAAAAATGGAAAGAAAAGTATAAAGTATCCAGAGAGACGTTGGGAAAATGCCATGACTCGGCCTCGGACTTTGGTCAATTGCAATTAGAAGTCACTGAAGAAGCTGGCTTGGTGCTCTCCAAGAATTCCAATGGGTTTTCCCCATTTTCCACCCGCCTCCTCGCTTCACTCCTAAAAAGCACATAAAACTCTGACCCAAATAACTGTACATTATGTGTTTATGTGTCTGTTTGGGAAGCTGGGAAAAAGATGAGAGGGCGGAAAAGCTATAAAAAAATAGTAGTAGGAGGAGGAGAAGGATGATGAGGCGGATGGGGATTTTTCAGAAATTGCAACACTTGAAAACTTGAAAATGTTTTCGAGAACTTGCGCTGGCAGAAAAGTTAAAAGAGGCCAACCTGCAGAGTCCTCTCTCTCTCTCTCTCTGGGTGGATTCTGGGTGGGAAAATGGGAGAGGAGCACCTGAGGAGGGACACAACTCTCCCCCCTCGATTCCTGGCAGAGCTCCTGCAGTAATTAGTGCAAACAATTGCGCTCGTTTCCGATATCCTTGGCAACTTTTCTACGCCCGTCGCCTGCTTTGAAAAGGTGAGGAAGGGGAAGTCCCTGCCGCTGCGGCATTTTGTTTCTAAAGGGCTGGCCAAGGGGGGAGAGGGGGGAGTCTGCCAGGAAAATAAATAAATATAAAATATATGCGGGGGGGAAAACGCCAACCCCCTGCTGTTTTCCCCCCATTTATTGGAAATATAAAGCATATTTCGTCCTCGACTTTTGTCATAATAAATTGGCAAACTTGAAATCGGATATCGGTCCATTGTTGCTGGTTTTTCTCTCTTTATAAATATATATATATATATACTTTTTTCTTTAGTAGAAAAGTGACAAAGAAAAAGGCGGGCGGGTTGCCATAGTTTCTTTCACCAGAAATGTGCGCTCATTAAATGGAAATGTAAATGGAAATGAAAATGAAAATGAAAATGATTTTGGGTCGCAGCTGGTCTCCTGCCGCCTGCTCCCACCCATCCATCCATCCATCCATCCATCCATCCATCGATAGACAGATGATAGTGAGTTCTGTCCGGGGGTTAACGTTTGCCAGAGGACACTGCAAGGGCAACTGCCTTCACTTTGCATCGCGATTCGTGGAAAGTATCGTATTTCCAGCGACCGACAATCGACAATCGATTTGATTATCGGTCCGATGAATGCCATTTTGATTTCCATAGCTTCAACTTTTTCATTTTCTCTTCGCTTCTCTTCTCTTCTCTTCGTTTTGTGTTGTGTTCTTTTTGTTTGTGTTTTCACTTTCTCATTTTGGCTTTTCAGTTGATCTTTTGGCCTTGTTGTTACCGTTAGCCGCATCTATTGAATAACTCGCAGGAAATTGCAGCAGCAATCGATATGCCATATATATCGAATTGCATTTTTTCAACTAGTTTTTTTCCTTAATAAATTAATGTTAACTATTGCATGCGTTTTTTGAATATGTTTACAAATCGACTGATGGGCGAGTGTGTGGGTGGGTGATTCAAGTTATCGATAGGCCAGCAGTGATCGAATTAATATGACCTGAAGAGGGTTTTTAAGTGCAACACCTATTTCTGTAATAATATATTGATTACTTATTGATAATATTACAAATATTCTGTAACAGTTTTAATGCCCTTTCATGCCTTGCTTTATTAAGGTAACCGATTGTGCCTTCGATAACATACACCCACCAATCGATAACCCATCAATCGATGTCTCTGCACTTCACTCCCCCGCCTCCCTCCAGCATTCCCAGTTCAAGATCTCTCCCACCGTTTGGTCTCGCAGCTTCCATTCAATACCAAAAGCAACTTGAAATTCTGAATGAACTCGCTGAGAAATGTTCGAAGGAGATTCAATAAATATAGTATATATATTGGCATTCCAAGACCCCCTCCTTTCCCACTGGCTGCGTGCCATTTGCACTTGCACCCTGCCCCTGCCTCTGATCCGGCGGAAAAGGACGAAGAGGATGTCCTCTTCCTGCTCTTTCCGCCAGCTTTCCCTTTTTTCATTCGTTGCTCATTGTTGGACACCCACACACACACTCATCCGACTCCACACACTCTCTCTCTGTGAGATATTCAATAATTGAATTACCCAAAAGCCGGGCAAAACACTCTTCCGAATTCCCCAGGAACTCGCACCAAAAAAGATACAAATACTACAGATACGCTGCAGTTGCAGCTGCAGATACAGATACAGATACAAAGTAGCAAACTCTGACAACTCTCATCCCCATCTCATGCTCTCTCTCTCTCTTCCCCCAAAAATTACTATATAAACCCCAAACATATGCATTCGAATACAATTACCAAAAAAAAAGAAACATAGCTATATAGAACCACATTTATATATATATATAAACTTATACTTAAATAAATATTTCATATTTCTTAAAATTATTGCATAACTTCTTTTCGGTTTTGTGTCCTTAGAGCCAAGTGCTGAGAAAACAATATCGAGTCGCTTTTCAGTTTTTCCCCATTCTCCATCAAATACATACAAAACAATGCTCAATGTTTTCTTCTTCACCTTTTATCAGAATGTATGATTTTTCCACCACAAAACTAAATTAGAAACCAACAGAAAATAAATAAAGAAAAACAAAAACAAAAAAAACTAAACAAAACGAAACCAAAGAATGAAAAAAAGTTCAAAACTCAATCACAAATATTGCCAAGTAACTAACTCTTGAATTTTTATCTTTTGCAAACCAAAAAAACTCACTCCAAAAACAAAATAAATCAAATAAAATCCATACTCAAACTTGGACGTGGCAACCCTGGAATGCTCTCTCTCATTGGACAACCCTGCAGTCGTGTTTCGGTGATGCGAGGACAAGTGATCACACCCCAAGGACTCGGCATCGTGGGCATTCGCGTTTCCGTGGATCGTGATTCCCGATTTGGCTTCACTCTGACCCGTCAAGGAGGATGGTGAGTACAATCTTTAATTTATTATATAATTATAAATATATACTAAAAGTAAATATTTTGATTTAAAATATCTGCGAAAGAGTCAATTAATTAAACTCTATACTACCTAAAGACAACTACCTTCAACATAATTCAATCTACATCTTTCAAACCCAATTTATTATTAAAAAAAAATAATAATAATTCTACTCGTAATTAATTGGCTCCTTCGAGGCTTCACTGTACGCGTGCATGCACACGCAATATTTGTTAAATGCAAATTACTTCCGTATGGATGAGCTCCTTGGAACTTTTTTCGTTGATTAAATTCTGCTGATGGAATCCGCCGATGGCCAGGAAATAAAAGAAAGTAGAAACAAGACAGACAAGAAATCTAAGAAAAATATAAGAAATAAAAGGTGGATCGTCCTTGGAGAGAAATAAGGAGAGATAGAGCCAAGCAAGTTATCAAAATTTTTAATTAAATCTCTCGCTTTGATGTTTCTCAAGTTTACACAAGTGGTTAGCATAATGAGAGGAGCAGCATCCTGCAGCATCCTGGAATCTCTTCTCACTTTCTTTGGGCTATAGGCCACAGACCGCACTAGGACAATTGGCCAAAAGCCACCGCAGGACTAGTGGTGGTGCTGCTGCTCCGAGGACATTAGTTTCAATTATTTGACATTCTATTCGAATTGCTTTTTAAGCACAAAAGCG